TTTGAGGCGAATGTAATTTGACTACACGGTTGGTGCGGTGGCTGGGCAACCGGCTGCAGTGCATCGTGTCGCGGGTTCGACTCCCGCACGGAACAACACTTTGTGTGATCCACAAATTGTTGTTTCTGGTCTGGGTGTCATTGTGTATGTGAACTTATATGTTTGTAAACGCACCCACGACACAGGAGAAAACCCTAATGTGGGGCAATGTTATTTAAAAAAAAATGCGGAATCGAAAGAATCGATTCATGGTGAAAAGAAAACTAACTCGCTGCTTTCGTCACACTTGCGACCATTAGACCAAAATAGGAATTTCAATTCACAAAGCCACGTTAAACTGCGGATGGAATCTCTTTGACACAAACTGTACTCTGCTAATCGATATAACACCTAATTTACAAGTACAGTGACCTCCAGCATCATCAAATTTATCATTCGTTGACTTAGAATAGACAAACATTTCGAAAGCTGCCTTGACCTTTACAATCGAATCTTGTCTCCAACACAGGGCCACGAGATGGGTGTACTATTGTGGTTTTACTGACCACAACATAGTAATTAATTTAACCACATAACTTATATAATAACTATGTGGTATCGTACTTGTTATTTAACTCGTCGAGTACTGTCATTATAGACACAATTATAGAACAATAGGTTGCGGTCACCGGTGACCGCTTGGTGTTTGACAGTTTAAGTGTATAAATGCTTGTCTAATTAAAAAGAATGTCTTGTTGGCCGAGCGGTCGCAAGTGCGACTGCCGGGCAAGGGGTCTTGGGTACGATTCCCGGGTCGGGCAACGTATTACTGGGTTTTTGAAAAATTCTCAATAGTAGCACGGAGTCTGGAATCGTGCCCGGTTTATGGCAATAAGCTCTCCCCAATTACATGGGAATTATAACATAAATAGTGAAAAGTGGTTACATTGTACAGTGGCATAATGTACACCTCTGCCTACCCCTTCGAGGATAAAAGGCGTGATGTTATGTTATGTAAAAAATTTTTTTTTATAATAACTATCGTGAGACATACTAAGTTACTAAAAATCGCCGGTTACTCACATGAATATACTGAGAAAAGCTCGACTAGTTTCGAACCACAAAGGGGATCTTCCTCATGAGCAGCGTGCGCGGTCGCGGCGATGTCGCGCAGCCTACTTTGAATGAAAAAAATGACATTTCAAACTTCTATTGAATTTGAAAAAAATTAAGATGTGATTTTCCATAGTCTAGGTACTCTTTAACTATTACACAGTGCGCAGTTCAAAAAGATCTGCAAAAAGGTTTAAAATCACAGACAATCTGTATCTACTCTAACTTTTATTCCTGAAGGGGTAGGCAGAGGTGCACATTATGCCACTGTACAATGTAACACCCACTGTTCACTATTTATGTTATGAGTCCCATGTAATAGGGGGTGAGCCTATTGCCATATATCGGGTACAATTCCAGACTCTGTGCTACCACTGAGATTTTTTTTTAAAAACCCAGTAATACTTTACCCGACCCAGGAATCGAACCCGAGACCCCTTGCCCGGCAGTCGCACTTGCGACCACTCGGCCAACGAGGCAGAGGCAGTAAAAAACTACACCGTATATGAATTATGATTGATTGAACTTCAAGTATAACCCAAGTACTAACTAGTCTACACATAATAGTTTATGGAATAAAGTACATTTAGTTCGGCCATGATCTCAATAAGGCGCAATCATCATGGTGAACGGATTGCTCGCATTACAAACTTAATTCAACAAGGTAACAGGGATGATGACAAATGCTCGGTGAGCATGATCATAGTCACTATCACAGTTAAAATTATGTTATGAATATCTTCAGGTTCTCTATCAGTAGAAACTATACTGACTGACTCAGTGTTGAACTATACTGACTGACTGTTGGCCAAGTGGTCACAGTGCCGGACAAGGGGTCACGGGTTCGATTCCCGGGTCGTACAAAGATATACTGGGTTTTTAAAAAAAATATTTATTTGTTTATTTATTCCACTTACATTTATCTTTACAGCTTAATGCCCAATGCGATAAATGTGCAATAGTAAAAATCTAAATAATGAAATCTCAATAGTGTCCCGGAGTCTGGAATTGTGCCTGTATATGGCAACAGGCTCACCCCCTATTACACAAGACTCATTACATAAATAGTGAAAAGTGGGTGTTACATTGTACAGTGGCATAAAGTGCCGTAATGTGCACCTCTGGCTACTCCTTCGGAGATAAAAAGGCTAAAATGTAATGTTATGTTTTGGAAACTATAAACAAATGACTATCTAACCTATAAATAACACTATAAACAACACTGCAGTCAAAACAAGTGACCACTAACACAACGACCAAACATTTAGAAATAGACAGCAACCGTGCGAAACGATAGCAAAATGCAAATATTTCGAATGTACAGACTGCACAAAGCAAGCACAAGAAACAGCACAATGGCGGACAGAAATCAGTTGGAAACATTGCGACATAGAAATCTAAAGAAAATCGATTCAAGGAAATAATATCAGATACGTATGGCTATATAGTAGATGGAAATAACGGCTTGATCAAGTGCATTAACAGTGTTACTGATACAGTATGTCTAATTGATTTGTGTATTTAGTGTGCGAGCGGGTTAACGGCATATCGGTCTCCTACTAGAGCACGTAGAGGTGAATTTTCTTGCAGTTTATTTTGTGAAAAGTATTTAGTTTGCTGTAGAGACAACAGAGCAAAGTCATTAGAGCATCAGACCGCCATAGATAGGATCACCAGTAGGGTTGATGCCAATACGGCACCGCGGGCAACCTAACGGGTTCCCGGCGCTCCGGCTCGAAGAACAGAAGTAGAAACGGGGTGGTTTTTAGTCAGTAAGAGTCTGACACTCCCTCCCGCCTCACCCAAGGCGGCAGAAGTCATTAAATGATTTTCGCCCCTCAAAAAAAGGTCTGAAAGACCATAAGAATCGATTGAAATAAATAAGAAATCGAATATTCATAAAGTAGAGAAAAAATTCAACATTTTTAAAGTAGCGCGGTTGCGACAGTTGACCCAGAATCATCAGACTAACACTAAACTTCGTGAAATAATGATCTTCGCGAAATCATCGTGACGATGATCTGATGTTAGAACATCGAATTACCACGATCTGATAAAATTCTTTCAATCGATTTATATTATATTACCTTTGCCAATGACGGCTTGCTGAGTATAAAAGGGTTTTGATCTCAACAGTTGAGTCGGAGATCGCAGTTAAAATTGTATTCAGTAATAAAAATTAAATACTATAAAAAAAATACTATCAAAATATTTTGTTAAATCAAGTAACGTGTGTAGATACAGCGAAAGATACTAAAACATATTTATCACTCATATAAAAACATATTTATACCTAATCTAGCGTAAAAATGTCAGAAGTTTGCAACAATCCCAATCCGATTCTCAGGTCAGCTGTCAATTTCTGCACCACTTCTACACTTTTAATAGAGACCTATCTCGCCTGTGTACAGATCAAATTCGGTTCAGCAGTTACGAAGTGAAAGCGCAACAAACAAACAAAAACTTTCGTTACATTACTTATGACTACAATGGCGCCTGTCCAACTATATCACGGTTCATAGAACATCAACAAGACTGGTGGGTTTAGGTCACTGACCTCTCAAACTATTGCCTACTAATATCACTTAATTGATTTTGGCTATTTACTCTCTCTTGGCTACTCAGCAGAGAGTACCCAGCTAGGTGGGAGACACAATAGTGGCCAAGCATACGCAAACACCGATTTTTTCGTCTTCATTTGTTTTCTTAACTACGAAACTTGTGAATTAAACTGTCAAACACCAAGCGGTCACCGGTGACCGCAACCTATTGTTCTATAATTGTGTCTACAAAACCGGTACTCGACGAGTTTAACAATTTTAAAAGAACGCAACACCTTTTAACATGAGGCCATTTATCCAGCAATGATCGTCTTCTGGCTGATGATGATAAATTGAATCGAACCGACCTAAAAATGAAAACTTCTTAGTCAATTTTGCAAGGTATCGGATCAAAGATTGTGGGATAAGACGGTACACGAGCAGACGGATCACCTGTTGGTAAACAATCGGCGCCGCCCATAGTCACCCGAAACACCGGAGATGTTACAAGTGCATCACCGGCCTTTTGAGGATTCTAGGATTGGGGAGATTGAGGAGGCGGGGTTATTGGGCCTTTGGTAACCTCACTCACACGGCGAAACACAACGCAGGCTTTGTTTCACGTCGGTTTTCTGTGAGGCCGTGGTATCACTCCGGTCGAGCCAGCCCATTCATGCCAAAGCATGGCTATACCATACTTAATCAACACCTGCAATCCTGACCTACTATCCAGACCAACTATCACCAATCTCAAGAAAGACCTTCATCAGGGAAGGTCCACCACCCACAAATCTGTCGCAAGATTTAAAGCCAATATGACATTGCCACACGTACTTGTAGTTTGTGTTTAAACTTAGTTTAAAACATAAGTAATGTTGGTACCAGCTTGTTAATATTATGTTGGGTATGAAATACCTCAAGTGTTTGTCTATTTACGAAGTACATAGCTAAACCTCTTTGGTGAAGTGGGGTGGAATTTGGATCCTGAGTTTGTGCTTTGGATTTAAGATTGGTACCAAAAAACTGTTTCCAGTGACAATATTTCTGTTTTCAAGAATTTTTTTTTCCGATTCCAAAACCAAGGTATAAGTAGTACATAGTAGCTAACCGCAAAATATTATACGATAAAGTACAGTATTCTTTTTTTTTAAACTTCATTGATGTCAATAAATTTTCATTTTCATTTTTGCAACACTAGAGATTTTGTATTTTTTTTTCAAATGTCGTAATAAATTAATGAAGCAAACTCAAAAAATATTTTGTAACGGAACAAATTAACTGTCTGCCTACATCTTGAAATATATATCAGAGAAACTTAAAATGATAAGGTCAAATCATGCAATCGTATAAAAATTAAACTTAACGTACCTGAATATTACCGGCAAATAAGAATTTCAACAACACACAACACTTAAAATTCTCACTTATTGTCCATTTTAATTGTAACAATACACTAAACAAATCAAATTAATTTTGATTTAAAAATTAAGGTACAATCGCTCCACAGATAACAATAAATATTTTTTGTAACAAAACTAGGCTGAATGTATAGTCACGCGCGCGTTTGCCGCCAAAATGCGGTGAAATGTCAGTTGCAGCGCGCGAAAGGTCGCTCGCACTGTGGCGGGGGGCGAAATATTGTTCATGTAATTTGTTAAACCGGAAAATATTATGAGACTACGCTGCGTTATGCGACGTAGTCATATTTATGTAATTTTAAATGCTACTTAACTTCTAAGTAGGTAGTATCGTAATATTTTTGTTGATGGCAACACGATATTAAATGAATTTCATAACCCATGATGTGCGTACTCAAATGTTTTGATTTTCATTGCAATTTGTTTTGTTAATGGCTACTTCAAGGTTCATCATATTATTTGAGTGCCTCCGAGTAAATATTTTTTTACGTACCTCTGTTTGTAATTCATAACGTGAAACAACGCTTGCGTTGTGTTTCGTCGTATGACAGAGGTTACCGGAGGCCCAATTACCCCCCTCCCTTCCCCAATCTCTACAAACCCTGAATCCCGGAATCCCCAACAATCTTCAAATTCCTAATCCCCAAAAAGCCGGCATCGCACTTGTAACGCTTCTGGTGCTCCAGGTGTCCATGTGCAACGCCGATTGCTTACCATCAGGTGATTCGGTACTGGCTTCTCCAGTAAAAAGATAAGAGTAATATTTCATTGTAAAGTAACGCATGCTAAATATGTTCTAACATCAGTCGGTACCGACGAAGGCTAGCCACTGGACTGTGCCGCCTATTGTGCACGGGAAGACTCGCTGATGTAACACATTTGTAACACCAGCTCGAGGCAACAAAAGTCGATTTAATATTTATTCTATAATTAATTGAACGGATTATAATCAAATATCACTTGTTACAGGTACATTTTGACCAAAGAAGAGGCTCCTTCGTTGCAAAATCGAGACGGTTGAACTTAAAAAAAAATCAAATGTAATCCTCCTCGAAAGGCTAACAACGTACTAGTAACTCTTCTAGTATTCCTAATATCCATTGTAACACTAGTCGCTTCACATCAGATGATCCATTTGTTCTTAGATATGCCTCCCTTATCAAAATCTCATAAAAATCCATAGTGACTTTGTTATTAGTCAACTACACACCATACATAACACAATATGGCTAAAACACTTTGTAACTATTATGAAATTTCAGTTGCACACATTTACAGTAAAACACAGATTTGTTAGAAGCTTAATGTGAATAGCAAACGGATTGGCACAGAACAATATTTATAGACTTTAGACAGGCTTTTGTAAATTATTCACATAGAGCTAACAAGTGCTAACAAATCTTTCTATTTGTAAACCACATTCAAATTGCTGTAGCAGGCGATACAATTGCAAACAACAACGATAGTAATGAAATGATTGTTCTAACGCCCGAATACTAAAAGGCTCGAGCTCAATTTTAAGTCTATTTGTGTATTTGTGTCACTACAAATTCTTCATAAAATAATAGAAATGGCACTATATTTTTTTATAGAATAGGAGCAGACGGATCACATGATGGTACCCGCAACCCCAGAGGAGCCACAGGTGCATTGCCGGTCTTTTAAAAATGAATATGTTCTTTTTTTCTTGATGGTTTGAAGGTCGTATCAGCTCGGAAATACCGCCGACGACAGATCATTCCACAGTTTTGCTGTGCGAGGCAGAAAACTATGTAAAATAACATATAACTCGAAAGGTTCAGATTTATCAGAGAGCGTCGCTGCCCGATATACTACTGTCAAATAATGTAGTCTCTTAGTCAGCTCTTACGAAATCTACGAGACGAGTATTTCCTTATCATATGCGAAACCCTAAATAAAGCAAAAAAGCGATGATTACGATAATCTAACAAAATATGAGCAATGTTTTTGATAATTAATATAATAACTAAACATTGTATTTTAAGTAAATGCAGGATACAAACAATTATGTTCTAAGTAATGTGTAGGAAATATGTGGCAATGTTCTCCGTGAGTCCTGTGTGAGGTGCGATGGTATCTGAGCAGATGTTGCGAATTAACACAGGCGCTGCGTTTACGGGAAATATCGAATTTTATATTTCGACACAGAAGTCAGATTGTGATCTTATAACCATGTCTAAACTTGTATGTATAAAGGATACAATCTTACAACTAACGACGGTCTATGATGGTTTATTTCCAATGGTGGGAAATTGATACACAACATAACATCACGCCTTTTATCTCCGAAGGGGTAGGCAGAGGTGTACATTATGCCACTGTACAATGTAACACCCAATTTTCACTGTTCATGTTGTGAGTTACATGTAATGAGGGGTGAGCCCATTGCCATATACCGGGCAATATTCCAGACCCCGTGCTACTACTGACATTTTTTTTAAAAACCCAGTATACTTTGTTCGACCCGGGAATCGAACCCGAGACCCCTTGCCCGGCAGTCGCACTTGTCAACACTCGGCCAACGAGGCAGAGAAATTAGTAAATATAATAAAATATTGTTGTAATATTTTTCCACTCTCCCCGGAGCATATCAGCAAGATCAAGAACATCTACTGTTGAATTCAGTCCTATCATAAGGACTTGCAGCTCAGATGGTTGGAAACGACCTGCATTCAGCAACTCGCTCCAATCTTCGGTAGATCATCTGCTTGTCTGTCTACCTTTCAGGTGGATGTCTTACGTCTTGCACTGCAAACTGAACGTAGGCCTCTTCAATAGTACGCTACTCAGTTCGATCTCTAGCAACGTATAAACAAAACTATATCACAAACAATATAATTCAACAAAATGCATCAAGTTAATACCAGCTGAGCACATGTCATTACATAAAGCGCACAACAAGGCCGACACGATGTGTGCGCCGATAACATAACTATACTAACTGTACTGTTACACTATATTAACGTCCAGTTTTAGTGAGTTCCACCTAATAGGTGTGACCTACATTACTTTTATTGCACCTTGGAATCTGTTTTACACATGCAACGAGCAGACGTATCACCTGATGGTAAGCAATCGGCGTCGCCCATGGACACCTAGAACACCAGAGGCGTTACAAGTGCGTTACCGGCCTTTTGGGGATCAGGAGTTTGAGGATCGTTGGGGATTCAGGAATTGGGGAGATTGGGGAAGGGGAGGGTAATTAGGCCTCCGGTGACCTCACTCACACGACGAAACACAACGCAAACGTTGCTTCACGTCAGTTTTCTGTGAGGCTGTGGTATCACTCCGGTCGATCCAGCCCATTCGTGCCGAAGCATGGCTCTCCCACACATAGTTTGATACTGAATTTATAAGTAGTGCTAAAACCGAGTGGAGCGCGCTCAACATCAATAGACGTCGCGGTAGGCCTAGAAGGAGATGGCGTGATGGTCTTGGCACCTATCAAAAGGAATGGCTATAGAAAGCTCTACGAAGAGGTGAGTGGAAGGAGAGTAGGAAGGTTTTTGCCCTGCAGTGGAACGACCACCAATAAAAAATAAAAAAAGCCTTTCATATGAAAAAGCGTTCTACAAAATATTCTATAATAACTACTACACTACTCGATCACACAAACCTTGCTCACAAAATCCGAAACTCTACACCAACAAATCACTTGCACAATACAAGTTTCTCACAAAACACGATCAGTCTCACATCTCAGTAACCAAATATTCAACCACACTGTAGATATAATGACGACCACAAACCGCGAATGAGATAATTCATACAGACCTAAGACCCTACACGTTCGTACACGCGGTTCAAATACATCTTTCATCACGACTTCCATATTTTGCAAATTGCGTAGGCCCTAAAATGATGCCTTGAGGCACTCCATGATCGAAACATTAAGTAATCTAATGATGCCTCACAATTTATATTGTCGTGATCGCTCGGAGGTTAAGTAGACTGAACACGACTGGGATGGAAGGTTGAATGGATGGTAATAGCTTAACTATGAGTCTTTAATACTACTTAATAACTCCCCTACAAGTACCATGACACAAGGTCTAGGCAAATTCAACCAAAACACTAGTAGTTATGTAGTTAATATTAAAAATAAACTTCAACACGTTAACCATCACGTCGGTCAATTGATGACCGATACTTAGTGGAGGATTTGCCTTCAACAGTCTTCTTTTTCTGTCGGCAGTCAAAGGCTTAAAACATTTTGAACTGATCCAATAAATCAGTTCAGTATTCGCCTTGCAATTACCAGATTAGATTTTTACTAAATATCTTGCTTCGTAACACGACATCATAAAGCCTGTTATTTTGAAACGGAATAACTCTGTGAGGCCACCTCGTCGATTGATTTCTAATCAATCTGCACCAAGTGATGAAACATCGAAATCTAGATTAACTGCTCAGGTGATAGAAGTAATACAAGAATTTAATTAAAAAGTGACATAACAATGATTATGTCACCTACACCTTTGTGGTGTACTTACACGCGCTTTCCGTCAACTAGGTAAGAAATAGAATGAGTTCGAACAATTATTGATGGTGTAGTCCACATTTTAAGTGTGGCAGAGCCATGCTTCGGCACGAATGGGACGGCTCGACTGGAGTGATAACACGACCTCACAGAAAACCGACGTGAAACAACGCAAGCGTTAGTTCACTTCGGTTTTAAATTTGACTACCAGTATCGTTCTATTTTCTGCACAGGATTTACGAAATATAATAAACACTATCGGTGCAGGAGATAAGCCGGTAACTGTCTGACAATTAGATGCAGCGAAAACGGAAGGTCGAGCCGAGCACGGCAGCCAGCAGACCGGAACGGTTGCGACACAACCTGACCGGGGAACGACGGCCACAGACGAACTCAATTATTTACTTATGTAAAATTGTGATAACTATTCTATTTTTGTACAAACCTTTTTCTTCATGCACAATTCAGCATAAAATCTTTTTATGTGGTAATCGAACCCACAGAGCAGATGTCAATCCATACAGTCTGAAATCATAGCTAAAAAAGTCGTCTGCAAACTTTGACACTGTTTTTTTAAGGGGGAAAATCAACCAAAACCTTCTCCTGCCCTGGATTTGATGAGAGGGAGTGTCAGCCTCTTGCTGACTAAAAATCACCCCGTTCCTACTCCTACTCTTCGAGCCGGAGCCCCGGCAACCCGTTTGGCCTTTCGCGGCTCCGAAATTTTAACATCGTTGCGTGACCTACCCTTTTTTATACGTCACAATAGTTAGATATGAAAGCATGAGTTTGGCTTAAAATAATAAGATTGTAAAACAATGTTAATAATTTATTTAACTAGAGGTAACGTCAAGTAATCGTAATGTATGTACAATTATAACAAATTGCTATTCATATGGCGTTAATAATACAAGTTATTATAACTTAAACACTGCTTAACTGCAGAAAATGAATGAACTACAAATTGCAGCAATTTTAATGTTTATATTCGTAACAGTAAGGTTGCAAATTGTAGGCTATATATTACAATAGGCACAGCATTTGGACAATGCAATGGACAAGTGTAATGCCATTTCGAATATCGAAAACGGCATTAAATAACTATTTTTAAAATACATGATAACCGATGAAAAACAACAAGTCACTCATACGCGAGAAATTCCTATATTCCAAACGACATAAGAAAACCATTTTTACTACGTTAAAAAATGTTTGTAGTGAGTCAGATGCATCCTAAATTATAATTAACAGTCATTATTCCAATTGCTTTAAAGATCTGTTCATTCTCTCTGAATGAGATTCAATATTCTCAAACAGTATTGACAACTTCATTCGTTACTGTGTTCCTACAAAACATTTTCTACAATTAACCAGTAACACTAACTATTATCTAAATAAAATACGATTGAAACGTATCGCCTGAGTATCTGTCTTCTACGTTAGGATCCTTCGAATCTGATTCAAATAGTTCTCCTTTCTCAGTGCCGTAATCAAGAGAATTCAATAAATCCATCTGCTTCCTTAGCATTACATCCTCTGCATTCAGTTTTTCTGTCTTCTTCTTGTTCTTTTCTGCTTCCTCAGCCACTTCTTTGGTTAAATTACTAACGTCTAACTTGTCAGTAACTTGTGCTTCTATTGATTTAATTGTCATAGGTTTAATTGTTGCAGCTGTTGCATTAACATTTTCGTCAAAAGCTGTAAAATCTTTTGGAACGTCTCTCCCAAAGTTTTCTTCAATCCATTCTAATTTGGATTTTTTATCAAGACTTTCGCTATCATACGACTCTAAGTTTAGATGCCTCATTTTAGTTCTGGATCTTACAGTTTGAGTTGAATAAAATTCAGTGGTCACAGTAGTTGATGGTTCAGATTTTGTAATTGGAGCTGCAGTAGAAGATTCTTCATCCATGTCTCCTGCAAACACTTCAAACTTCTTTTCGTTCGTGTCACTGATATCGGCAACTCTAGCTTCAGATGCAGTTATAACTCTACCTTCACGCCCAACTTCAGCAGCAACTGCAGCTTCAGCTGCTCTTTCAACATCCATTTCAACTCCAGCCCCAGCATCAGCTTCAACAGTTTCGACTCCAGCTCTAGCTCTAGCTTTAGGTTTGGCTCTAGATTCAGCTACAACTGATTTATCTAAATTATTTTGCTCTATAGTAAGTGTCTTTTCCATATTAACGTCATCTTGACTATCCTGTTTCTCGCTATCCATCTCCATTGATATAGGTGTTGTTGTTCCTATAAAATTCTCTGGTTCTGCAATATTTTGCTCAAGTCTGTTAAAATAAGACATTTCAGTAACTTCGTCAATTTTCATACTGCCAGCTCGACGATCATAATGATTATATTCCGGATCTTTATCATCATCTGCAACCATATCAACGAATTCCTTGTTATCGTCTAATTTAACTTCGGCTTCTTCTAGTTTCATTTTACGGGTATCTTCACTGGAAGACTTTTCAGCATCAGAAGGATTGTCGTCTTCAGTAAAGGTATTTTCAGTCATAATAGGTACAGTAGTAGGATATGTCGTGGTTTCATAATAAGTGGCGGGTGTATACTCTAGCACTTTTTTCTTGATGGGCTTAATGTCTGGCGCATTTTTTATTGCTTCTATTAATAAATCTATTCCATCATTTACTGAAAATTTAAAAACAATGTGCATTTTAATACTTATTACTACATAGTGTAAAGCAAAGTCACTATCCGCCGTCTGTCGGTCCCTATGTATACTTGATACATAGGGATACATATGATTTTGATGCGGTTTGTTAAATAGATTTTTTTTTTAAGGGGGGAAAATCATCGAATGACTGCTCCCGCCTGGGTGAGGCGGAAGGGAGTGTCAGACTCTTACTGACTAAAAACTACCCCGTTCCTTCTCCTGCACGTCGAGCCGGAGCCCCGGTTACCCGTTAGGTTCTCCGCGACTCCGAATCGGCATCGGCCGTATTGAGCCCCATCTGTGGTGGTCTGATGGCTCTTTGAGGTGCGCGCGGAACGCGACGCGCCGTACGCTCGGGTCTGTTTCTGGTCGGACGGGGAGCCACCCATGCTCGCCGTCCGCAGGCCCGACGCCCGGTGTGTCCTTCGCGATGGCTGGGTTACGAGGAGGCAGCGCTTCGCTGCCTCACGCGTCCCGCCTCCTCCTTAGCTAGCATGACTGCTTCGCAAAAGGAGGAGACGGCATCCCAGTTCCCCTCGCTCCGCATCATGGCCTGCACTAGGCCCGGACGCGAGAGGTCACCATCGCCGAACACTTCCCTGAGGGCACGGCGGTGCTCAGCCCACGCAGGAGGGCATTCTCCCACCGTGTGTTCCACCGTGTCCTCAGGGCGGTCCTCGCAGTGATTGTTAAATAGATAGAGTGATTCTGAAGGAAGGTTTATATGTATATTACATACATATTGCACCCGAGCGAGACGGGGGCGGGTCGGTCATTGCAGAAAATACGTACCAAAAGCTTCTTAGGTTCAAAACTTAAACGTTTTCAGTTAAATAATGAGTTGGTTGATATAAACGAAAATAGTTTCAGTTAGGAACACATTTTAAGAGAATTTAAAACATGTATTTGGATGATACAACTAATAGTAATTTTAGCATAAGTGCATATATTAAATGAAACGTTTGGCAGTTATCCTAACTATATAGAAAAAACTCCTGATATAAACTATGTAGATTAAACCTTTTCGAGTGATTGAAAACACCATAGTCGAATAATGGATATGTCAAGGAAAGGCATATTTATTTCGCTTATCGATAAATTCTCAATATTAGCACACCACGTGATAAATGTACAATATTTACCTGGTGCAGCGTCCAACGGATGGTTCTGCTTGATCAAGTACTCCATTAACATCAACAGATACTCTATAGCGTCATCATCTCTCGAGAGTTCCCTCTTGGTCCTCCCATTAGAGCTCACGGTTTGAGCCAGGCGCTTCAGTTTCCTGAGATTTTGAATGATATTTCTTGAAAAGTTTTCTATTTCTACGCTATTATTGACACCCGTAACTGCACTCACCTTCGGATTCTTATGAATGTTACTCTCAAAGTTATTCAGCTGCTCGTACATCTGTTTCATAAACGAGTTTTGAACTAAATTGTATTTTATAAGAAGATTTCTAAGACTTTGAAATGGGTTTTGTTTCGGATTACTTTTATGTGTCAAAATTAAATCAAATTTCTTGTGAACTTTGACATCATGTTTATTCAGTATTGATATTATCTCATTTAGTAACTTTGCGAATTTGCGAACAGATGCTATGAACTCTTCTGTGTTTTTCTTTATATACTCTACTTGTGTTGTCTGAGTATCTGTTAAGTTAAAAGAGAAGTTTCCTTTCAGTATGTTATTCAGTTTTATTACGTCATCATTTAAATTTTCTTGTTTTGAAACATCAGCATCTGCACTTTTAGGTAATTCAACTAATTTTAGTAAACCTTTAATAATTTTGACAGATTTTAGAATTTGAATTGTTTCACGATCTAGCTCTCCAAGTTTACCACTCAGTTTAAGCCTGTCCCGCTTGCTTACTCTACATGGACCGAAATTTTCACACAAAGTTTCTACAAGGTGGTGTTTACTCAAACGGTCCGGTTTGTCACGTTTAAATAATTTATTGAATATTTTCTTCAAATATCTTAGAACACTGAATTTCCTCTTTTTCTTTCTCGTTGACTCTGTGGCGTTTACATGAGTTTTATTGAAATCTTTCATAATTTTTTTGAGAAGGTATTTTAAATCTTCGGTGCTGTTCTTGTGAGCTGTTGAATTAGTAGTATTCATACTCAGACAGCTTTTGAGCATACAAGAGGTACGATGAACGACCTTAACTATATTATATTTACGGTTATTGATTTTTCTATTTCGGCTATTGTGTGCGATTAGTTTTACAATGCTCTTATGTCTATCAGATAAAGCATTAATTTTTTTCTCTTTTAGTATTTTCAAATGCGCCCATTTCGAATGTTTCAAGTCGTTCATTTCAGGATTCATTTCTGTAAAATTTGTTATCGTTCTTGTGTTATTGCTCATTATGAAACCTTTTTCAGTAGATGCATAAGATGTCAATGGTGCACCAATGAGGTCGAATACAGTTTCCGTTATATTAACGAGTGTGGTCCCAGTGTCCCATAGTGTTACATTTCCTTTTATTTTATGGTCTTCGTTGCCCACGAAATATTTATAATATTCATTTTCAGGAAGTGTACTGCTTTCAACAATATTTAAACTGTTATCATTATCAGGAACCACCAAGTTACTCGGCATTCGTGTGACTGGAAGTGCTACTGTGACATTTGGTACCGCCATAAAATATTCTGAAACATAATCCAACCCAAAATTATCGTAATTTTCTATATAAAATGAATTACTATAGAAGTATATAGAACAATGTTGAATTGATAAACGGAGAAAATAAAATAGATACATAATTATTTTAATACAATATTGAACCTACTGAACTGCTACATACCTTTGGTGGAATTAATAGGTATCACAGAAATTGCTACAGAGTTCAGTTCTCGTTTGTTTCTGATATAGTTCCTAGTTGTTTTGGTCGGTTTACCAGGTTTGTACATCGGTTTGTTCACTGGGTTTTTCTTTGTATTCTTTTTCGCTTGATTTAGTTTCCCACTCTGCTTAGCAGTAGCTTTTTTCAGATTTTTCATCTGTTCCCGTTTAGCCATATCTATCGCTATCGCAGACATATTCTTTAATTCAGCAGCGACTGATTTCCTCAATTTCCCCATGACCTTTTGCATTAGTCTTTGCGCTAGTATCATTTCCAAATTGTGTTTAGTTGTTTTGATTTCTATTGGTTTATGTGTCACTACGTTTTTCTTTATGATTGTCTTTGCTGCAGCAGCCTTACCTGGTGAAATTCTTTTATATCTGATTGGAGTCCTTCTTTTCACTGGTGCGGTGGTTAAGTTCATTTTGCGTGGTAAAGGCTTTCTAATGATACGTCTTTGTGGTTGGGTTTTATTATTGCCGCCACGTTTCATCACTGGTGGTGCTTTATTCTTCGGTTTAATCGGGGGTTTATTCTTTTTTACAGGCTTAGGTTTCGGCTTTTCAATTATCTTTGTTGTCGACGGTTTTGGTGTTTCTACGGGTTTTTTAGTCATACTTTTTCTCGCGCTTTTTTTCTTCTTTTTTTGCTTTTTCTCTGAAACATTATTTTAATTCAAAATAAACAAGAGCTGATTTTTAAATATAAAAAATGGCATCTTTATGATTGATGAATTAAAACATCTTTCTAACAAAAAGCATGTAAAGATCTATAGCCAAAGTCTTATTCAACTTACCATCAGGACAAAAGCTCAGGACATGGCAGTTCCACCGCCCATCTGCGTTACAGTCACACACCGTGCACCCGATGCACCAGTCCACTAGAAAATAAACAAACAGTGTATAATTATAAATGATTATATCCCACTGATAACTGATCTTGATAATGTTTACAAGTGGTGCCATGACAATTGCATGTCTTTGAATTTGGAAAAATGTTGCCATATAAAATTTACGAGAAGAAAAAATACTCACCCTACAGTTTATACAATAGATAATGTCCCTCTAACAGAAGTGACGACCATCCGTGATCTGGGAATAATTCTGGATAGGTCTTTAAGTTTTAGGTTCCACATAGATGGCATAACAAAGCGGACCTCTCGAATCTCGGGTTTTATCATTAGACAGATGAAAATATTCAAGCAACCAAGTCTCACAATTTTAATATTTAATACGTTTGTTCGCGGTATTCTTGAGTATTGCAGTACGGTTTGGAATCCTAGTTACCAAGTGCATATTAATAGAATACAACGTATTCAGAAGAGGTTCCTGTATCACCTAACATATAATGACTTAGGATGCCAAAACCTAAAATCATACGAACAACGCCTAACTTCTTGGCACAAGACGAAAAATAGCCGATATTATCCTGATATACTGCAACGCGTGGCTATTTCTGTACCGCGAGCGGGTAGTCGGATATGCAATTGAAAAACTTTTCACCCACCACATTCGAAGACAAATCTTGGCCAGCACTCGCCCATGTACCGTATATGTTGTTATTCTAATAACATTTGTAAAGACATTGATGTCTTCCGTCTCGATTCTCTTGCCTCTTTCAAGAAGAAGCTAAGATCTTTTTACACACTTTGAACTAAAGTTTTTGTTTCCATTTAGTAATGTAAGATTTTTCTATTATGCATGCTGTGTTCACATCTAGTAGGATATAATCTTAATTAAGTTTGTTGCGGTATTTTATATGTATGTTTGATTGTATTCAGTTTTGTGAACCAAATAAAAAAAAAGAAAAAACATCCCAAATCATTAAAATGAATTATTGTTAACCAGGATTCATACTCGTAGTAATTCTATGTCTACGCGCCGCGCTACGGCGTAGCATTGTGCTACGGTGCTATGAAAATTCGTTTGAATACAGTGTGTCAATTAACTAAATTAATCCTTTCAATTATTGTTTAAAATACAAGATAGTTTTTTTTTTATTTTAACCAGTGTCCCTTTATATTTTAAACTAAAATCTTTCTCATTAATCTCCATAATTGTACGGGTGACGTGTGTTCAGTGTAGTGGTGAACTGGAAACCACAACTAAATCAGACTAACAAGTTTTGAGTTAATCGCAAACGAACTATGACGGAGTATTTATTTTATAATATTAATGTATATGGCAATT